AGCTTCCACAGTTGATCTGAATTGCTACATTAGCGAACTACAGGGTGACCCACATGAAGTGAGACGGACACAAAAAAAAATCAACTTATGGGCTTTTGGGCTGGAGGAAGCGGTGATCCCTTGGGCAGAAAGGAACGCGATGAACGTCAGCTGAACCTTCCACAGGATTGGGCACCAGCCCAAAGCGCAAAGATGCGGCAGTGTTGTGAAATCACGCTCCCGGGTTTTGGGGCAAAGCAGTTTTGACCTTCAAATTCCCTGATCTCAATCCTCTGGATTTCTGTGTATGGTCGATTCTGGAGCAAAAAGCCTGCGCTTTCAAACACAGGTCTTAGGAACCTCTGAAAGAAAGTTCTCTGGTAGAAGCGTAGGATGAAAATGATTGCGCGCATTCTTGAAAACTTCCGAAAGAGGTTGGATGTTTGCATTAAAGCGAAAGTGTCATTCTGCATGCGAGATGTGATAGGTTCTTGTGATGCTTGTGTAGGAGTAATATTTTCCTATTTAGCTTGATCTGTACAATTTTGATGCTAATTTTCTGCGCCACACTTCATGTGGGTCACCCTGTTTAGAACACAAACTTCCTAAACATCCCAGGTCTCCAACGTGCACCGTTCAAACAATACCTTCGATGGTGAATGTGCAGCTCCAGGGAGACTGTCAAAGCGTTGGTTCAATAGCGTCAAACGGGGATTGTAAGTACTAGTTTCTTTTTACCTCAACAGCACTATGGCGTCAGCAGTCGATGAACTTGCTGTGAACCAGCAAACAAGGATAGTGAAACACTGTAAAGAGCACAAAAAAGCCATTCGGAAACAAGGAAGCGCGAGGGAGCAGCTGCATCCATACTTCGCGATGACACACCGCCGACAGCAAATGTTGGAAAAGTGCGCGTGCAGCGGGTCGATACCGGGTCGACAAAAAACTCTAAACTAACGTTTTCTTCTCCAAGTCATAGAAACTCACTTTTTCAATTCGGCCTTTTTTCTCTTCTCCTCATCTACCTTCTCTTGCACTTTTTTCTTGACTAAATCGCGATCATTTTCCGATAACAAAGGATTTTGCAGAAATCGTGCCACCACATCGCGCAACACTTCTGAAAAGAAAATCGGAGAACAGCAGCTATCTTTTGGAAATAGAGCAAGAACAAACTTGGATTTGAGGACGATTTGATGAACGCAAGTAAGTCAGGAAGAGTTTCGATCTCGTCACTGGCTTTGACTTGCATCGTCTTCGATGGAACACTTCAAAATTAAAATTAGATGCTATTATTATTAGGATCAATAATCTAATAATAATTTCTCCAAAAGTGACTTCTAGAGGCGTTTTGTAACGACATTAGCAACTAGAGAAGTGTTTTCCGAATTTTCACGAATGCGGTGTCCTCTTAAACATGCTTGCATGCGTATAATTGCCTTTTAAGTGCTAACTGGGGCTTGGTAGTTAGTAAGTATAGGGTCAATCAGACGTCAGCTAGCTACACGCTTGAGCAAACGTAAGTCAAATTGAAAACTAATGAGGCCACAAAATCATCAATGATGCGGTGTGGTAATCTCTAATGCCTCAGCTTAAATTTAAAGCCAATTGAACTTTTCTCTGGTTGAAAACGTGGTTTCAGTAGTCAACTTGTTTTTGAAGCGCAACAAAATTCACATTACTACTCAATCTGAACATAATTATTGAATCAACTTCAGAAATTACAGAAACACGAACTCAAGAGTGTTCCAAAGCCCCAGTTAGGCTAACTACTACACTGTTGAGTTCGACGGCCTCAGCAATTGCGAGCTGTTTAGAAGAAAGGAACTACAGAAGCAGCTCAAAAAGCTTCGAAGCCAGTTGTAGGGTCGAGGACAATGATAGAGATTCTGTAAAGGCCACAGCTCATCTTTATCTGATTAATGCCAAACGGGTCCACAAAAACTCCAAAGTACTTCTACCAGTAACTTCCTCAGGCTCAGTAACTGTATGCCTGCTTTCAGAAGGGCTGAGGAAAGGGAAGCTGCAAATCGACCAAACACTGCATGTATATGAAAAAAAAACTGATTATTCAAGAATAAATGCAGTCAAGGAAGAAAAGTCAGAACGCATTAGCAAACAGGCATAGGCAACTGGTTACATCGAAATATGGAGGGTCATTCATGCGGGCAGTCTACTGTTAGACCAAGCTGCACTGAATTTTCTTGAATAGAATAAAAAATGTACAACTGTGCAAGACTACATCGAAGGGAAACACTCTCAATCTACATCAAAAAAAGTACTGCTGAAAGGGTAACTATACTAAATAACTGCGTGCAGATGTATTTAAGACGGCATTTAATGAAAAAAACAGCCCAAGCATACAAAGAGCCAATGTTTATGATCTGGTGGGGTACTACGAATCAACAGACAAAGACGGTTGCGCACAAAAGAAGGCTGTCTCCTAATTCAAACTCTTACTATGGTTGTGAATCAAGAACACCAAATGGAGACCCCCAATTAAATGGTAATTCATTGTAGGCTTATAAAGAGGTGGACCTACATTAATTCACTGATTTCAACGACATCACGCTACGTCCTATCCAAGCGAGACTCAATGGGAATTCCACCTAAAGTTTCTAACAAGTGTGAATCGACGGTAAGAACACCTTATTGCTGCTCCGTTTTAGTTTCCCGCAAGAACTTTAAAATGGAAAAAGAAAGGAATTTGAAACCATTTCTAATATACTGAGCAGTCGACCTTCACTCTTTCCCATCAGGTCTACATGACCTGCTAAAATGCATGTTTACTTCTAATAGATAGAGCTGAATGATAAATATAAAGCGGTATTGAAAATGTGAAAAAACAAAAAAAGCAACTAATGGAATCATTTTTATCACAAACTCACGATGAAACGCTGGGAGCATTTCTCTTCGGCTGCTGGCGTTTAGTGCTTCCTATAGCTGCCAATAATTCGGATAGTGTTTCAGCTAGCGAAGGCTTCGACATCCCCTTCAGTTGTTAGCACTAAAAGGGTTGCTAGCAACATGAGGATAAAAGAAAACCAATTAGCCATGAAAAAATCAAAGGGATTTTCGACACGAAGAGGAAAGTGATGCGTGGCAGAACCCGACGCTAATCTCTTTCCAAGACTTTGAATTTCTCTATTTACACCATTTTGCAATGTCTGGACATCAAGCGATGCAATAATAGGTTTCTGCTATGCTGCTTTCACATTCTTGTTCTGCAAATTAGCCCGAGGCGTCTAAACTGCTCACCACGAAAAAAAATTGTGAAATTTAAAAATAGTCTAAACTGTTCCAAGTCAAAAAAGCCTCCAGTTTTCAACGAAATCAATCTTAAATAAAAGCCTTCTATGAATTTCCTATATCAGAGCTCAACTACTGTACTGAATGACGGGTTCTTTTCTTATTGAGATAATAAATGGCTTTCCGGAGTAATTTGATAATTGGTAGGCAGTGGAATGAAAAGCAAAAGAAAAAGAAAATTGACAATACTTCAGGAAAGAAAAGGAATTACCCCACCTTTCTTCTTATTGCCGTCAGATTGTGAACGTTGTTCGTAACGGGCACCCATATTTCATATTTCGAATTTTCCGATCATCTGTTTTATGCGTTTCGTCTTTAACTTTGTTAAACAGTCTCGACGAGTCTCTCTTCCTTCTTTCTCTATTTTATTTATTGCTAAATTGCTAGTTTGGTCATTGGTTGCAGTGTATAGCTGTCGCATCGCATAGCACAAGGCCTAGCCAACGAATGCTGCTGTTTTCCGAAAAATCGTCGTTTATCGAATCCCTATATGTACCATTGAAGCCCGGAGAGGAGTCCCCCAGATGCAGCAACTGCAATTCCTTTCCAGGCCATTTTCTCGAGCATTCTTGGTAATGAGAAGTATATCGGTTTTCAATTCAAATTTTGAAAGTATAGGAGTTGTGGGCGATTTCTCAAAGCGTGGTGTGGGACGTATTTCCGAAAAAATGTAGAATCGGTCCATCAATCAAAAATAATGTGGCGAAATTTAATGTGTTCGGTCGCGAATTTCGCTGCTGGTGAATGCACTTGTTATTTTGGCCCATCACCTTCTTAGCAGAGATAATTTTTGCTTTTCGTCTGAGCTCGGCATTAAAATGGGTCATTCAGTAAAAACGGTACACTATCATACACGCATGGTCAAAGGTTCAAAACCCGGATCATACCTTCTAAGCCAAACAAGCCTCCCATCTCACAGGGGTTGGCTATTTGAGACTATATTCATCTAGGAGGATAAAAGCACTGTCTAGTACATCGGCTAGCCACCGCAAGTCATTGCATAGGCCGAACACACATTCGAAGCCTCATTACGATCCGAATGGAAGTCGAATACTGGTCCCAAATATAGGAATGATTAACGCCGAAGACCTCATTCTTTATACTTCCAGTCAGTAGGTAGAAACGGGTTCAATATACATCAACTACAACTGTCTGGGCAAACAGGTTCTACTCAAGTTTTGAAGTTGAACGCACAAATATGCATGGGCCAAACATAAAACGCCATGACAGAATACATACTCTTATCTGAACGTAATAAAACGGTTTATTCCTCAGAACTCAATGACACCAGTGTTAAAATTCAACTTGAACAATGGTGAAACCGTAAATTTGTTGATAAGTTAAAAGTCATGGCAAACAGATAGTGTATATTTACAATCATTTAACTTAACTGATTGTTTTTCAACTTGAAAGGCACTAGAAATTACGATACTAGCAAATCACCGTTATCCAGAAAATCGGAAAGAATCAATCTGTATGTCTATAAGTAACTCCGTGACTCTATTTCATCTACAATATCAATTTATATAAAAAGACTTTCGAACCGAGACTATCTATAAACCACTTCGTATCTCTTAAAACTTAACATATTAACAAGTAAAGCAACTCGCGAAATAAAAATTATAAGCTTATACGCGCCATAGATAGGCACCTCCTTGAGCAGCAGAACAACATCGAACAAAAAGAATGACTGGAATAAGGAGAAGGGGTGAATATTAGGAAACCGGTTCCATGCGACGTAATGTTTGCACTATGGCATCCCGGAAAACTTCATGTCCTTGTAGGTACGCGGTTACATGTCCCGCACCATTGATTTCGAGAACTCGCATTCCCGGCCACACTTGCTGCAAATGCCTATTTATTCAGTGTAAACTGCCCTCGTCTAAAAATAGTTGTACGGACCCGAAAAGATCGATTTTTGCAGTGATGGAACCGAACGGCAGAAGCAAGGGCTCCCATTATAGGTGCTCTAGGTCTCTTGTCTTCGTTCGGTTCTGCCTTCCCATATGCAAGGGAAGATTGCCCCACCTTCCTACCGAGAAACATGGAAGTCATTTTCTTACCCGGAAATGCGGAGAACCGTGACCACGCAGTACGTAAGCATCGTTTTCTGCCACAACCGCTGTGCACAGTGACGTATCGAGTGGCACTGGATAGTTGGATAATAATGTGAACTCGTCCATTAGTATACACATCATGTTATATGCCAATCCTCGACCATTGGAGGCGTTCCGTTCATACTAGAATATTTAACATGAATTCTTTCATTCCAGAATGAAAACGAAATCGGCGGCAATGTTGCGAGTCGTTGCGTAGTGACTACAACTTCTTTTGTTCTAGGGATTACAAAAAATTCGCTCCGAAATGCTGTATTCAAAGCAAATTAACTATACACTTCTACTAGCTGTACATACCGTAACAGACCCGCAGCAGGCATCGCAATACCCCCCCAATCTCTCTCGGTTAGATGGCACAGCGACCAAAAACGAATCAGAGTGACTCACCATTTCATCAACCCAGTTCACTCCAGGGATGCTTCGTAGCTGGTCAAGGTAACTTCGGTCTTCGAGCTGCTGTTGAAGATGCTCAAATCTAATGGCGGATCGTAGAGCTCCTAAGAATAAGCAGGCATATCTCATGAAGGAAAGTGAAGTGAAAGAAATTATGATGAAGGAAAACAACCAATACAATTAATAGATCTTCACCTTCCGTGAAAGCGGGTCTAGCCGTGGTCCATGATAGACATGGAATAACCGCAACTGGTGTACTTGCGTTCGTCGCAGCTAGGGATGCCATAAACCCACCCATAGAGACCTAAAAATTCAAACTGAGTCCACATTTCTTAGAGAGAATGAAGACTGGTAGGTTAGAAGCTTACTCCCGACAAAGCCATCGGTCCATAACCTTCAGAAGTTGCCCACGACCTAAGAAAGTTGCACTCGGAGATTAGTGCTGCTCCCATTACATATAGATCGGAAACACTCTCAAGCGACGATCGAAATTGTGATGGTGGTTTACGATCCGCATAGAAGGGATTTTGTAGAAGAATTGATCCGATACCTTCTTCTAAAAGACCATTGACGAAGCCCAATTCGCGCCTGGAATGGGATTTCGAAGAAATGATTAATGTCTTGGAAGGCCACTAAAAATCATGGTCTGCGAAAAATGTTATGAAAAGAACATTTATAACAACTTACCAATTACTACCTAAAAACAAGATATTAAAGAAAGCGAAAGTAATGAGAACCTCACCTAATATAGGAATGATCCCCTGTACCCGCCAAGTGAATGCACACTCCTTTCCGTCGTACAGCTGGCAGATAAGCTCTCCAAAACGCCCACTGAAGACATCCAGGCAATTGATTAGGGAATAGCACCGCATGAGGGCTGCGGAAACGGCCTTCGAGTTTTCGTACACCCGAAATAACTTCTTCCTGAATACCTCGATTGTATTAATCATCTCAAAGGATTCACCATACTTTTAAAATTGCTCCAATGTTAGGGACATGTTTACGACATCTAACTGCCTTCGATTCCCTCAACATCAGAATATAACGAGACTCGAACGTATTACCTGTCCCTGCCCAGTCATGACCTCTAACCTGTGGCTATGATACAATATGAGGCGCTGACCTTTCAAGAAACAGTTCAGTGATACAATCCCCTTGTGTAGAAAAACAGTCATCAATGAAGTAAACCAACCTTTTCGATAATCATTTCCGTCTTGATTGATTTAACAGATTGTTCGGCTTGCCGCTTCGACATCACTTCTAATTTATGCTTCATCAGTCTGAAATTCTCTTTGTTTATTGTTGCTAATATTCATTGTAGCTTTGTGGATTCATCATAAATCTTGCCTACCATCGATCTTATCGTCCTAGGTTATCACTAGTCATTTTATAATTGGATTAGACGTGAGAATTCGAACATACTAAACAAAATTCTGGGTCTCTATTCATATTAGTGTGCAAAAACATCAGGCGATACATTGAAATGTCAATACAAATTCTTTAGAAACACTTTTTTGTTCTTTTACCTTCTCTTGTTCCGAATTGAGCGCTTCATTTTCCCTCCACTGCGAAATATGAATATTTTTGCGTGATCAGCCCCATATTGGAAGATTAAAGATCGTTTCCCATAAACCAGTTTGTAGAATAAGCGTGTAACACGAACGCTGCTATTGAGTTCATGTACAACTATTCAAAACTGATACCAGTAACATGGTTTCCAGAATTGCGACTGACGGTTTCAAAAAACTATTTCACACATTGTTTTCAGTTTCCTAACGTGTTTACATCAACTCTCGCGCATTAATCCCATCTGGAACCCGCATAGGTAACCAAGAATAATTATACAAACCCGGGATAATCAATATACAGAATTCACGAGAAATAATCTTCCGGTACGATTCGTTTTCAAAGTCCTCACTTCTTGTAATTGTAAGTCTTTCTTAATCTAATACGTTTGATACGTTCCATGAAGGGTCCGAAAACCTTCAGAATATACACTGGACTGACCACATATTATCAAGCGTTATCGTTTTTTCACGTAGTGATTCTGTGAGCTTTTATCAACGCTTGAGCAATAACAATAGACAAATACTGTAAACTTACTCTCGGAATGTTTCAGGATTGCCCCAGCTCTTCGTGAATAGTCGACTTAATACCAAAGCTCTACGTACGAGCATGTCGACATCGAAAGCAACTGGATTGCTGGCCAAGCCAGCACCAATCGTGGTGCTGGCTAGCCAATCTCCCAATCGACTCAAACTCATGCAGCAAATAGTGAGTTAAGCTTAATATAATAGTGTTTGATCACGAAATTCCTGAAACATGATGTCATGAGTAACTCACCTTATAAAGAAATTATATCTGAAGCATTTAAAAGAAGGAGTCGCTTGCGGCCACACCCGAAAGAGAAACTAGAAAAATGAAATGATAAAAGAGGATAAGAAAGGCTAAGTTATCCATACACGCATATTACTCAACACGTAAAAGTCACATTGATTCTCCCACGAAATTGTGCGTATACAATAAGAATAAACGAGCACGTTTTTTGAAAGAGACGATGATTCGTACATCACATGTGCGAAAAGGAGACTCTGAAGAGGCTTCTATGATCGCATGCTTTACTGACGTTCACTGGGGTCACGTTGCAAATGTTCTCGTCTCGCGACCGCACGCATGATTTTAACGTTTTCCCGCAGCGTGTTTTGGACTGTCGGTGAACTTATAAAATACATTTGATGATGTAACGAAAAGAGTGAATAATTAGAATGAAAAAATCTGCTCAAGAACGAAGAAATTGAAGAAGTTCTGATAGGGCAGTACCGTATCAAACAGCTACTACTCAAAAATTCTCATTCTAGGGAATCAAAAATCTCATGGTTCGAGTATCAAACTTCGAAGAAAATCTGCCAAAAAGCTTACCAGCCCGTGAATTTGTCGAACAAACCGCTGCTGGCAAGCTGCATGCAGTTCTTGAGGAAATGAAAACAAACAAAGTGAGTCTAAGCATTTGCATTCTAAGGCAATACCATGATCTTTTCATTTAAAGTCAGTATTATGAATGAACATCGCATCAATAGGAGCTTTTCGACGTCGTCATAGCCTCAGATACAGTAATCTACTTCGAGGGGAATATCATTGGGAAACCAGAAGATGCCAAGGATGCCTTCAACACTTTGCAGAGGTAAGTTCGGGTTAGAAAACCAAGCGTGTCGCAAGTATAGTAGCAAAAATGATGTAAAAATAGTTTATGAATTAGGAGCTCGCTTCTTTTTGGGTTCACCAATCTACCTTAGCGAGCGGAAAAAATGTTATTTTTAATCGGCTACGGGATTAATTCGGGGATCACGCTTCTTCAAGAAAGAGGTGGAGTTTAGCACGATGGGTCTTAATTCTTGTGGGTGCCTAATGAAAGAACATCTCTGAAGAAAGATACAGGGGATAAAGCACAGTGATGAAAATGTTGAAAATGAAGGCTAATGGTAAAGAAGGCTTTCGAAGAGCGTTCGAGAACTACTAATATTCAAGTGGGGTGGAGCCCGAATCACCCCCAACACGTGGGATGCGATCCATGTGACAGGAGGCATCATGCTGGTGCAGATTTCATCCACTGATGCGCCCTTTGACAAGAAAAAGTACACCAGGACATGCGACTTGTTTACTCATCGTGCGACAAATGACTGATCGTTGGCCCTAGACTTTTCTACATAGCCGTAGCGCGCCGTGAAGATCAGACTTCCATCTCGAGAAGCCCCATTCCCTCCTTAGGAAATCAAAGTCTCCCACTACGTACAGCTTGATCATTAGGTGGCAGCGAATAGCAACCATTAGCTCGAGACATATCACACTATGTCACAACGTCCCAAGACTAAACCTACCAACTGTTCGGGAACAACTATAGGGAATAACTAGTAATCAAATATCAGCTGTCTTTCTCTCGACCACGTCACAATCCACTTGATCTCAACATATGATTCAGGTTACGTGGACATGAGCACTTCGTATATAGCGGTGTAGCTATGGCGTA